TCTTCCAAAAGGTTTTAAAAAAGCACACACACAATAGCTTTGCAGCTGCAGGCAGCGAGCGCATTCTATTAGCGGCAGACATCAAGAAAACCTAGTGAACAGTCAAACGCATGGTTTCCAAAGCCTATTGCCTAGTTACGTCCTCCGTTTCCCTCTTCTGTTAAACTGAGACTATGGATGGTTTTCACAGTGACGTCATCAAATTGTAACTCAAAATAGCGAGGTTTTACGAATTCTTCTTTACACTACGTTGAAGATAAACAAAAATAAATTTTTGTACAAGTTTCCATCTCCATAGCATGTTTCATTTCGAAAATACAGCGATTTGAACTCCCGAGTTTTCACAGTGCGCGACACCAAAATAGGAATGCTGTCTCGTTGAAAAAAGTCTCTCCTCTTGATTTTCAACACTATAACCATTTCAAGTATTAGAGGATATGTTTATGCGCACGTATCCTAGTTCTCGAATAAAAAGAAAGAGCTTTTATAGCAAAAGTGAACTCCATATGTTTTTGTTGATTTCCGGCGGCTATATTGGTGCACCAAAAAGGCGTCTCCATACAAAGCTCTACAAAGATGCGTAAAACGTTTCGGCAAATAACTCAGAAACTGTGGGCCACAAAGACCTGAGACTTGGAAAAATCGTTTATATTTGTCTTTTATAATATTTCATTTACTTGGCTTCTTCCACTGTACGGTTTCCAATTTTTTTTTTGCGTTACAGTACATTGAAAACGATCGTTTTATGCAACAGGGCCGAGCCCCTTCATTCAAATTCTCTTCCCTAATTCTCTTCCTCAGGGTACTCGAAAGCCGTATATGTCCCGCAATTATACATACGGCTTATTACTGGGCTGCCTGTGGCACGTGCAGTCGAGCTTTCTGTTCCGTCAGTCATGAGATTTAGGTGATTCTCTTTATTAGACATCAACAACAAATACAATCCCACTGATACAATTTATGTTGATAATAAAATTATGTTTGGTTTACCTCTTATTAGAGAAAAAACATGAGAATATCATGAAGAAACTTTCACTGAAATACTTTTACTATCAATGAAAATAAATCTAGATCTGAAACGATTTAAAAATTATTCTTCATGTGTAGTCAGTTCGCACAAAATTATTTACAGTAAAAAGTCACACCTAGCTATTTATTTCAAAAGTCAATAATTAACGCCCTGGACACATGTCGTTACTTGGTGCTGGTTTATTAACCAATTAACGCCAAGCACCACTGTTCTTTACGATGTCTGCAATAGATATCTGCAAGTAATGTGTTCGTTAAGGGCCACAATAATAAATATTTTCGGCCGGGCACAGCAGTGTGAACTTCCAGTCGATGCTAAAGTTCCCTTTCCCACCCACTGTTTCTCGAAGAAATGAAAGGTCCCTGGAGTCTCCGCACTCTGTCTCGAGGAAATCAATATTTCCAGCAAGGAAATCAACGTTTCCAGCACGGTTCTCGCCTTTGTTATTACAATTACCTAAACCACACCAGCGTAAATGTGACATTAGAAGCAAACGCGTATTCCCAAACCCAAAAAAAATTGTAATGAATCTTAAATTAAAAAACTAAATAAACCGCGGTCTAACTTAGATTTTGTTCAAATAACCGACCCAAAGTGTTGACGTAAGAAGCGTCGCAGTAAAGATCCAAAGAAAATCATTGCACTTAAGGCCTGTTTACATGGAGGTGGGGGACTCTAGGTAGGTGAAGTAACCCGCTTACTTGGGGTAACCCGCCTGTCAATATAATCTTTCATTTTAATGTAATCACGTTTACATGTTTGGGCGGGGGGGGGGGAGGGGAGTGACCCGCCACATGTTAATTCACCTACTGGTGGGTATCGCAGCAGCACTATGACCACTCTTATATGAAAATTGGCTCCATTGAAGCGTAGAAAGATGGTTGATTCCGAAATCAATGCCAGATAAAATTATTATAATTTTGGGATTCTTTAAGGTGTTTCGATACATTTCTTGGGAGACCATACATGTTTTTCAATCACCCTGAAAGTGATTTTATTCTTGTCCGATCGCTACAAAATTTTCACCAGTGATTGACTATGAATTGAAGTTTGTCAAAATGTAGTTGTCAGTAAAATCGATATCACTATGACAACAATAAACAAAAACTTTAAAAACGATAAAATCCGAATTTTGCTCGATCGAGACCTGCTACTGAAAACTCCGACTCCAGGAACGTAAAGTGTGGTGTTTAGCAAATAGAAGTAAAAAAAGAAAGTAAAAAATTGTGTGTTTGAATTCAAATAACACGTAAATTTATCTCAGACCTTACATTTTCAATAGCGGCGATAAATTGTTTAATAAAAAAGTTCTAAATAAAACTCACATAACTATTAAGTAGCGTCAGAAGGCTGCTTAACATCATATTTCGATGCTGGGAAATTTTGGTGTATTTTCTTTCCTGCGATCCTGAAAACTAACCTGTTTTCTCACCACCTGTCGAAGTGCAACTTTATTCTAAATTTTGACTTTCAGCGCTTTTCTGTATTATCTCTAAAACGGCTCGACAGAATTCTTTTAAGCAGCCTTCTGACGCTACTTAATATTAATTTGAGTTATTCAGAACTTTTTGTTAAACAATTTAGAATGTAAGGTCTGAAATATATTTTCGTTTTATTTGAGTTCAAACATACAGAATCTTTTACTTCTCACGGAGGTTATTTGCTAAACATTTAATAGCAGGTCTAGATCGCGCAAAACTCTGATTTTATCTATTTCAAAGTTTTTTGTTTATTGTTCTCATAATGATATCGATTTTACCAAAAACTACATTTTGACAAACTTCAATTCATAGTCAAAATCACTGGTGAAAAGTTTGTAGCGATCGGACAAGAACAAAATCACTTTAAAGGCGATTGAAATATGAAAATCGGTATGGTCTCCGAAAAACTGTATCGAAACACCTTAAAGTGAGTGCCAATTTATTTTTTCGAATAAGGTAACGTAAAGGTTTTAACCTTTTAAACCAGCTTAAAAACTGCCCAAAGAGATCGAATCGAACGTATGGAAGTTGATGGGCTGCAAGGAGGAGAAAAATTGACTTTTAAGTGATAACAAAGTTACTACAATCAGCCACAAAATTAGTTGAGACAATTTGCCATGAAGGGTCTCTCTGACGTTTTGCCAACTTAAAAAAGGGGTTACGTTCATTTCATCGTGCAACAAAAACAACAACCTTAAGGGTTTATTATTACATCCAACTAGAGAGAATTTTACATTTTTTGATGGCTAATGGAAAAAAATTGTTGCATAGAATGATACATTATGATAACAAGGGTGTCTAGGAGCTAAATTAACAAACGTTCTCGTACTAACGCCTAGCAGAGAACAGCAATTTTAATTTGTCCAATTTATCTTTGCTACAAAATTTTGACAAGAAAAACTTATGAGAAGATTATGCAAACAGGGGTGATTGTCCTAGAAGTATTAAATTAGTTTTAAAATTTGTGAAAAGACGATTTTTAAAAATAAAATGAATGAATGGTTGTCGTTTACTTAGTCACTCACGCACTCGCTCACACACTCGTAAGCAAACTTACCTTCACTCAATTGCGGTCGTGCATTAAGCTAATCTTGTTACTGCGACTTTCCAAATACACGTTGCTAGCTGAAAAGGCCAACCCTAAATTTGCATTTTCGGCCGCCACTTTGTCTTCCAAAAGGTTTTAAAAAAGCACACACACAATAGCTTTGCAGCTGCAGGCAGCGAGCGCATTCTATTAGCGGCAGACATCAAGAAAACCTAGTGAACAGTCAAACGCATGGTTTCCAAAGCCTATTGCCTAGTTACGTCCTCCGTTTCCCTCTTCTGTTAAACTGAGACTATGGATGGTTTTCACAGTGACGTCATCAAATTGTAACTCAAAATAGCGAGGTTTTACGAATTCTTCTTTACACTACGTTGAAGATAAACAAAAATAAATTTTTGTACAAGTTTCCATCTCCATAGCATGTTTCATTTCGAAAATACAGCGATTTGAACTCCCGAGTTTTCACAGTGCGCGACACCAAAATAGGAATGCTGTCTCGTTGAAAAAAGTCTCTCCTCTTGATTTTCAACACTATAACCATTTCAAGTATTAGAGGATATGTTTATGCGCACGTATCCTAGTTCTCGAATAAAAAGAAAGAGCTTTTATAGCAAAAGTGAACTCCATATGTTTTTGTTGATTTCCGGCGGCTATATTGGTGCACCAAAAAGGCGTCTCCATACAAAGCTCTACAAAGATGCGTAAAACGTTTCGGCAAATAACTCAGAAACTGTGGGCCACAAAGACCTGAGACTTGGAAAAATCGTTTATATTTGTCTTTTATAATATTTCATTTACTTGGCTTCTTCCACTGTACGGTTTCCAATTTTTTTTTTGCGTTACAGTACATTGAAAACGATCGTTTTATGCAACAGGGCCGAGCCCCTTCATTCAAATTCTCTTCCCTAATTCTCTTCCTCAGGGTACTCGAAAGCCGTATATGTCCCGCAATTATACATACGGCTTATTACTGGGCTGCCTGTGGCACGTGCAGTCGAGCTTTCTGTTCCGTCAGTCATGAGATTTAGGTGATTCTCTTTATTAGACATCAACAACAAATACAATCCCACTGATACAATTTATGTTGATAATAAAATTATGTTTGGTTTACCTCTTATTAGAGAAAAAACATGAGAATATCATGAAGAAACTTTCACTGAAATACTTTTACTATCAATGAAAATAAATCTAGATCTGAAACGATTTAAAAATTATTCTTCATGTGTAGTCAGTTCGCACAAAATTATTTACAGTAAAAAGTCACACCTAGCTATTTATTTCAAAAGTCAATAATTAACGCCCTGGACACATGTCGTTACTTGGTGCTGGTTTATTAACCAATTAACGCCAAGCACCACTGTTCTTTACGATGTCTGCAATAGATATCTGCAAGTAATGTGTTCGTTAAGGGCCACAATAATAAATATTTTCGGCCGGGCACAGCAGTGTGAACTTCCAGTCGATGCTAAAGTTCCCTTTCCCACCCACTGTTTCTCGAAGAAATGAAAGGTCCCTGGAGTCTCCGCACTCTGTCTCGAGGAAATCAATATTTCCAGCAAGGAAATCAACGTTTCCAGCACGGTTCTCGCCTTTGTTATTACAATTACCTAAACCACACCAGCGTAAATGTGACATTAGAAGCAAACGCGTTTCGTTTTTCAAAGGGGGTATAGGGGCGAGTGCGCAGCCTGAGTCAAACTATACACTTGGTTGTTTTGACCCTGTATGACCAAACAGTGACCATAATCAATAAAAACACGCCTAGAGAAGCAATGTACATATAGAATACAGCAGCCTTTCTTCGCATGTGGCTAAATACGTTTATTTACACAGGGATATTCTGATACTTAGGATAAACTAATTATGATGCATTATTTAGGTTTAGAACTAAAAACAGAGTCATTCGCATTGCTTCATGGGAAAAAAGACAAACCGCGTTCCTTCGTTGATGTTAAGAAACCATATAAGAGTCGGCTAAGGTATCCATGGTTGCACGGTTAATGGGGAACGAATTAGAGTCCAGATAATGAAGGAATCTAGCAAAGGAAAAACAAACTTTGCAGTTTAGGAGTTAAAACTACATCTAAAGCAATAGAAAGGAGAAGTCGTTACGTCATGTTGCCATGGTAGCATGGTCCTGCAAATATGGCAGGAAACAAAAAAACGAAAAAATTGACTTGTATGAATTTACTGTGCATGATTGCACAAACCGGAGCCCATACTTTTCTTCCATCGTTCGACAATGCCAATGGCCATCTCTGTCAAGAAAGACTGCTGAGTTCTAGAAATTTTGCTACCATGGTCACATGACGTCACACTTCTCCTCTCTATTAACCAATCACGACAAGCTAAGTCAATAATCTGAGCCAATGAGAATTTTAAAAAAAATACAAGCTGCCGGTCTCAGGAGCGGGAAAAAGCGCGCGTACACGTCATGACTATGACATGACATGACATGACATGACTGCTCAAGAAACGACACGTGACTACTAGCGAAACAACAGAAAGTGGCAAGGTAGTTCGACTGACTTTTCAAGGACAACTGGAAACTGCTGACAGACTAGGTTTGTCCTTCCCGCCTAAATTCGTCCTACTTCCTTGCGAAATTGTACGCGCGTACGCACGTAAAATTACGCGACAGTGGAAATCCACCCTTATTTAGGACGCGTTTTATACTTCCTCGTAAAAACGGCCCTAAAAATGACAAAGCAAAAGTCATTAAAGGATTTGCCATACCTTCTTTTGATATGAGCTGCCTCTCGGAGTCTTTCAGAGTGACAAAGCAGGCGAAAGGTGGGAATGTAGTCACATACTACACTGCAATGGTTACAGTGGTTAAGAACGGGGATGCATGAACTCAGGGAACTGTAAAGTTTCCGTCGGCTTGCAGTTGAACTAAAAAAAGCAACAACAACTTATTATCAGTTAGTTTGTAATCCTAGATAAAATCTTGGAGCTGCCAAATGCTTAACTGCCATTTGGTTTATTGTTTTTGATTCGTCGCCAAACCAGTTTTAATCAAATTTTTGTGGTCATTAACATTTAAAAAAGAGACAACAACGAAGTTTTTACTGTGACGGCCACTCGGCTAGTTGGTGTTACAAACCTACTAACAAGGTACTTAGCTAGCTAGCTAACTGACTGGCTTACTGACTAACAATCTACTGAGCTAGATGGATACAGTCTTGGACAAAAGTCTTAGGACAATACTTTTCAGAAATCACACATGCCCAACCCCTCCTCCCAACCCACAAACAACGTTGGACGAGTGTATCCAGACTTTTTTCCAAGTTTCAACATTGTATAAGATGGGGGCAAGTAGAACTGCAAAGTATTTTCCAAAATGAAGCACTGGCACTGTTTCATGAGGGCACTCATAATTGAACCCCGTTCCCAGGGTTCTCTCCTACCCGCCCTCTCTCGCTCTGTAGGGTGGGTAGGAGAGAACCCTGAGAACGGGGTTCCACCGCGGTCAAACGTCTGAGCATGCGCGAAGATGTGCTTGGTGATCGCTACATTCGATTTGGAAAATCTATACACATGTGGCTACGTCTTCTTGCGGGCAAGAACAGAGAAATTTTCTTTGTATTTCAAGAAAGTTCACTGGCGATGAATAGGAAGAATAAGAAGAACGTGTAACAGGAAATGTAAGTATGAGTAAACTTGTCTTTGACAATCATAATATTCCCCAAGTGCTCTTATGCTCTTGTTGATCAAAATGGTGGCACACATTTGTGGCCGCTAAAAGTACTGTATAGCTCAAGTTTAAATAGTTTTAAATTGTTTAAGCTTTCTGTAATGTTTTTATACTAACACTGGCTTGAACGTAATGTGAATGGTTGGTATTTTTATTTAATAGAAACCATATCTTTTGGGCTCTGGTTCGTTCTGCAAAATAAAAAATTTAGTAAATTGTCTGGTTGTCTTTTTTTTTGCCGATGAAACTGTTCTTTTATGACTGACGACCTTAATTTTAAGCTTGTTCTTATCTTTTCACATCAAATATATTATCTCGCACAGGGTTTAAGTCTGTATTAATAACAAACAAAATGTATCGATAATGAATAATTATTTTAGATCTCATTCATAAAATTCAATGACCACATCACATGAGTTTTATAGTAAACATAATCGAGCTCAAAAAAGATGTAGGAACATCTATAGTGTCGGTGTTATTTATTGTTTTAGGCCAGGCACATTGTGAGGGGAAAAAGGTTTTTGTTTTAGCAGATGTTTAATAACCACACATAAGTTCAATAATCACAGCAGCATAAGATTATTTTTGACTGTTTGACATTGCAAATTGATCAGACATCAGTGTACATGCTGCCATTTCAACACTATTGCTTATTCTTCATGTTTGTTTACATTCATGACTAGGCTTCTGTTTTCATTACGCTGTCCATTCAATGCTCGTAGCTTGGTCTTAGCTTTACAGTTTAAATTACTAGCAATAGGGGTGGGGGTTGGTGGTAAATGAGGTCTCAGTTGTACGACCTTCTGTGTTGATTTAAACTGCCATGGTGTTTAATGATCTTGTATGCATCTTTAAGGTGGGCCAAATAATAGGAGTTAGAGATTATTGTGGGTTACTAGATGCTCATATAGCATTAAAAGGGAAGGTACTTGGTATCTACTGTAGTTTTGTTCTTGCTATAACAATCTGACAACTTATTATTTATTTGATTAAATCTATCTTATTTTTGTACAGAAAGTTAGGAAGGGGATGAATAGAAGACACAGAGTCTAGACCCTGAAGGAGAAGCAGATCCATGAGAAAAGGATGCAAAATGAGAAGAAAGAATGGAAATGATGTACATAAAGAACACCTAATTTAACTGAAAAGACAAATAAAGGTTCCACTCAATTTTATTTGCAATTTTGTCTTCTTTCTTACAGTATTTTAGACTGTCTTTTAGAAAATCTTGTTAGCCAAGCAGTCTAACTGACCAGCCATCATTTGGAGATGGGCAGCTATCCTCTCAAGGCTTTGTTACCTGTTTATTATTATTATTTTTTCTGCTTTTTCTTAAAGTCTTCTTTCTTGATCTTTGATCACCTCTCTGGCTTAAACAAAGTGCATTATTATGGTCTAAGTGAAAAAGTTAAATTCCGTTTTTTCTCTTCTGTTTCAATCACAAATAGGACACCCCTCACTTCCATTTCTTTTTCTGACAACTAGAACAGGGATGACTCCAACCAGTTTTTCGATGATCACTTGTAGTTAATTGCTTCTGACGAGCTTAAAATGCAAAGCACACTGCGTTTATATATAGCAAAATGTTGAAAGACTTGGCTCACCTGATCAGGAGCTCAAAAGGTAATCAAGGAAATAGGTCATGGGGAGGGGAGGGGAGGGGAGGGAAAAGCTGAAAAAAAAACCATTAACCGAGAAAAAAATATTTCTGTACAGTTGTTCATCTGTTTATAAAATATTACTTAAAATGAGAGGACAGTGAATTCAAATTGCTGAGAACAAAATTTTAGTAAAGTGTGGTTTACCATATTTTCTGATGTCTCTTTCGTTTGTTTTTGGAGTGAAGAGATTTATTAACTGCGTTGCTTCGGCATAATTATTGCACCATTTTGTCCGAGGTTTGTGGTCGGTAACGTTGTAAGGTTGTTCCTGCCCACCTCGTCAAATACTGCATACAGTCTCTCGAGGATTGGAATTTTAAATGGTTTTACTGTGTCCCCACGAAGATGGACAGGAGCAGCGTTTGTCCTCGGCAACTATCGCGTCTCTATGCCTCAGGCAAGGCCATGATCCTTCAGCAGGTACCCCTTCTGCCCTCGATAAAACTTAATCAACACTCCGGAGCTGTTTTTGACTACAGTTTTCTCTTCCTGTTGGCTTCTCTCTTCCTGGACTCATCACGCATTGGAACAGCGACATTCAGTAAACAAGTCTAAACAAATGGCGACGACAAGCTTTCGCATGTCGGCTCTTTTAACGCGAAGAACTTTTTTAGTGAAGGTCAAAAAAATTTAGTGAACTCGGAGAATAATGAAAATTTATCTAACTATTAACTGTGAAAACAAAAACCTTCACTTTGAAGTATTTCCCTTAACTTTAGCGTATTACTGACGATTGTTCAACTATACTTTGCTTGACACCGGTCTCTGCAATGGTTGCAATTAAAATTTCGCGCGGGAAATTTTCCCGGCCGGGACCGGATACGAGTGCATTGCGCATGCTCGAGCGTTTGACCGCGGTTAAGAACGGGGTTGCCTATAATTCACCGATAATCACGAATTTTGCACCACTATCTTAACGACTTTTGTGCTAGCATCTTACCTGTTTTGTGCCTGAGTGACTGCATCCAAACGCACTACAGAATTGAAATCGCGTGGAGGAAAATCTTCTGATAATCTATCCAAGTCACATAGCACACTTTTGACTGTGGAGGTTTGATCTCCTGTGATTTCTTCGACGGGTGAATTTCCAGTTTCTGTAAGATCTTCAGACAAAGACTTAACTTTGACAAAACAATCATCTAAATTGGCCACTTCCAACGCTCCACGGATAGATGAACGCGTTTCACAAGCCAGCCAATCGCTTGTCTCCTTCACAGTCACGTGTTCGTCTGTAAGTCCAGGTTTCAAATGAGCTCCCCACCAGCCAAACCGCGCCGAGTTGGACTGAGTGTCAGAAAGGTTTGGACAATAGGCGTCAGCAAATGACATGTTTTCTGCACACTGTGCAAAGATTTCAAGAGCTTTGCTGGTTAATTTTTCATCTGAGAAGAAAAAGGAACGATGAGTTTGCCAGTGCATGTCATTGACAAACCTAAAAAAGCAAGACTACAAGATCTTTTTCATAGAGCTATTACAATGAAAGCTGAATGGACCAAACAAGGTTATGGCACTACCGTATTTCCTCGTATAATAGCCGGGGGCGATTATTTCTTTTTCCGCACAAAAAGGGGGCGATTATTCGAGGGAAGGCGATTATTTGAGGGAGGCGATTATTTCAAATATTGCTCACTGGAAGTCGTGCCCTAAATGTATTTTGTTTTATTATGCCATTAAATAAAAAAAATATTCACATCAAATTAACTGAACATGGGCTTTTTAAGTGTTCCAAATTTAGTTCCTTGATTAATTTTCATGGCTTGAATAGTCACTTATCAGTTTTGCTGGATCACCTTTCACTTACACTTGACAGGGAGGGGATAAAAGGAAGATAAGAAGGCGAGAGGAGCGGAGGAGAGGCGATTATTAGAGGGATGCGATTATTTTAAATATTTCCGTCCAAGGGAGGCGATTAATCGATGGAAGGCTATTATTCGAGGAAATACGGTATATTTACATGTTCAGTTTGACGCATACCTTGGGATGGCTTCCGGTGCACAAGTTCACTTCCTTTTTTAACAGCAATGCCTGCCTTCATTTCACGATTTTGACCTTCGCTCTCCCCAGTCTCCTCTTTTGTCTGTGACTCACTGAACCCAGTGTCCGTTGAGTCCTGGGAACTCGGTGCACTCTTGTTAGCCTCTACTAATCCTTTCTCTGGCTCTTTCTCTATTCCTTCTTTGTTCTCAGTAATATTAACGCGAGGCTCTGTGCCATCATCAAAGAGGCTAGTATCTGAAAATATACCTGAAAACATATTCTCGCCCTTGGTTGTAACATCTTTCGTGATATCAGAAGGTGCATTTTTACTTTCCTTGGCTTCAGACTGATCAGGCACTTCCTCCTTCTGCTGTGAAACGGATGGATCCACAAAAAATGGCAGAAGGCCGCTCAGGTTTGCATGGGTAAGGTTTACGCCAAGAACTTGGCTAAAATGAGCCAGGTGTAACTTCTCGGGTATGTTACGGACCTGCCCAAATAATGAACAAACCATTAGTTGCCACAAGAATCAGTTGCCTTGCTTTTAGCCGTATCAGATGTCAAGTAACTAAGTAACAAGTCTACAATGCGATTAGAACAGAAAAAGATGTTACCACTATTATTGTATTGAGTTCTTTTTAGAGAAATATATCATTAAAGAGCTTATTCCTGCAAATTAGAAGGAGCATCCGTCACGGAAAGGAGTTTTTAATTTAATGCAAGGCTGTTAACTCAAATATCTTGGATCTGCATTGATCATAAAAAAAGTAAGGCGCCTTTATTTCCCCTAATATCAGTGGCTAACTTTGCTAATAGGCCGTTTCCGAGTTCCAAAAACTCTAATCACTTTCAAAACAAGCCTAAGCCAAAACCTTTCTTGTAAAAATAAGTTAAATTTACGTGAAATTCATATCGATAGCTTTGCACTTAGCCTCACTTTGAAACAGAGGCTTTGGGAAACTCAGAAAAGGGCTATTTATATACACCATATTTTAGAATAAACCATAGTAACACCTGCAGTTCATCTTGTGGTTTCGCTCCTTTCTGCAGAGCTGACAGTGACCCTTCAGCTGGTTGCTGTAAACAGTTCAGCAAGCCAAGGACGCTTTCAAAAAGTAGACCATCCATAAAAGGAAGTTGTCGAGAGTCATCTGGCCTCTTGTCACTGTTGACTGGCTGGCTGTCATTGGTGTCAGTGATTTCAAAGACGGAATCAGTGGAACTGTCCGCACATACCAGCGTCTTCCTTTTTGGTTCACAGAAATCTGAGTCAGAGTTGTCAGCCTCAGTTGGTTTCAAAGTTCCACTGCGCGAAGAACGTGAACTTCGTCTGAGCCCTCCACTCTTGATTATCTGCCAGTCGCTCAGAGAGAGAAACATACTTTCCTCACCCCCTTCATCTAAAACTCCACCAGTCATGGTAGGATGAGACTGTGGCACGTCTTGTGATAGACTATTTGTCTCTACACACTCTGCGCTTCTAGCATGACCACTGGTTTGGGTAGTTTGATTCTTGTCGGAAATGCGGGAGGAGTCATTCAAATGTGCGGGCCTTTTGTATGGCATCTTGAGCCCCCCATGTGACGCTGACCAGAATTGCAGGTTGAGAAGAGACTTGCGGATATCACAGTTGTTGTGCGCCACTAGTGACTTGAGGTCTTCTGGATTAATAAACATGTTGTTCATCAGTCCTACCAGCTGTAAATGAGCTGACAGTAGGTTCACCGAAGGACACTTCACGTTTATCTGATCATACCTCCCTTCACAGCTTACTTGAGATTCTGAAAAACAATTATAACACACAAACATAAGTCAAAAAATAGCTCAACTTACGGATCAATATTTTTTGGGAAACAGCCCACCTACCCCTCCCTTAAGCCATCATTTTGCCCTAAGTGAGAAGTAAGTGTTAATGCTAGCTCAGGGGAGGGGTTGGTGGCCGCCAGCATTTCTCATTTCCCCCCGCCGCTACAAAATTTTCATATTGTTCTTCCAACAAAAAATGTCTCCTTTGTTTTTTATCTCTCGCTCTAGCTCTCTGTCTCTCTATTTCTCGTTGAGCTTCGCTGGCCTGTCCCCTACATTCTCTTTTTCGGCTCTGTCTTTCTATTTCTCTATATTCCAAATTTGTGGACATGACAATTAATCTAAGCTTAATACTTAAGACAATACGGATACAGAAAAAAATTCCGCTCTCCGTTTTCGTCTTTATTGGCTTTAGTTGTCTCTGCTTTACAAGACGCGGGTGGTTCTGCAATTTCCCGCCAAAATAACCTCGAGTTCCATTTGGGTTGCCATACCTGTTGATTGAGTTATTTTACATTGGTATGCCTGTGGTGCGGACGGACGGGTGGACGGTCACTTGATTACCAAAATTTCTCGGATGGGTAGATTACCACTTTTTCTTAGGTATGGGGCTACGCTCGCGCGCGCTTCGCGCGTGGAGCTCCGCTATTACTACTGGGATGATCATTATGTATTTAGTAACTACATCAGTTGCTGACCTGTGCTTATCAAAACAATTGGGCACTTAGCATTCTGCATGAAAGAATTCACAGCCATCCAGAAACTCTTGTCCTCTTCAAATATAACATCCACCTAAAAAAAAAATGCAAGGACACGGTGACTAATGATTAACTAATGTCAGGTTCCCTGAGTATCAACACTTTTAGCACAGGTAACCCAGGCTCACTATTTGTGTCACGTACGGGTTTCATATAACATGAGTACATATAGAGAACATATGAGACGAAGTTTAGGTCTCGAAATTTGCTAGAAAACGGAAAAATAACAATCAATCAAACTTACCACGTGGCGAGTTATTTGACCTTAATATGCACACAAAGTTTCGGAAAAAAAAGTCTCGTTCATCTTTCCTACATAGTTAAGTGGCTATGTGGGAAAGATCAAAGTTACTAACTATGGAAAGATGAAGGAGACTATTTTTCCCAAGACTTTGTGTGCATATGCTAGAATAATGCTCTACCGTTAAACGGGTAAGTTAAACTAAAACTCACTGTTAACTGATATTTACCACTTGTAAAACAACTACTTTGAGACAATTGAATGCAAAATAACCACACGAGTGAAAATTAGTTTCCTAGAGGGTCCTTTTAAACTAAAATCAAGCCCTATCACACTGGGAAATGTAACATATATGTACAATAATTTATTTAACATTGATTGCCAAGAGCACGGATTTGCCATTTATTCTAGCAATTCTCCACAGTAGGATATCAATCCTCCTACTGTATATATTCGATTCAGTGCACAACCTCAAATAACAGTGGCAGATCCAGACCTTCAGATAAGGTGGGGTCCGGTCATCCAGACCAAGAGATAAAAGGTGGGGGAGGTCTTAAAAAAATTTTTTTGGATCCTTGGGCCTCAGCTTGGTCCAAAAATAAAGGGGGGGGGGGGGGCTCTCCCCTGGACCCGCCACTGAATAAGCACCCACCTTGAATAACCGCCCACCCTATTCATGTAGTTAAGCCCCAGACTCTCAGGTTCCCTCAAGAACATGTGGTGGCCACTACCGTAACATTTCACCATGATGGTTGATACATGATTAAATTTGCTATTTTACCATAGTAACAAACTCTGACAACTAAAGAATCCCCTTTAAAAGTGTATCCACTGGTTAGCGAGAAATAGGCACAATGTGACACAATGGAATGATCCTTTTTAGCTCCAGTAGGCAATAAAAGTGCACCTGATCAATATTGTTATTTTGTACAAAAACAAACCCTTGAAGGGACACTGTTGAAGAAATTTCTAGGATCACACGTTATGTTTGCCTACTGCAACGAGAGACCAGCGTCGAACAAGGCAAATTACCTTACAGCAATTATCACGAAGAATAAGAAGGAAGAACAGGCTGTCCATTATTCCATTGTTTCGATCAGGGGATCATCCCAAGTAAGTAAGTAAGCTTAGGAAGATTACTAACCTCTTCAAACAAAATCAGTGATGCTGCCTTAGAAGATAAATTAGACTCTGTACCATCTTGACTTAGTGATTGTGATGGCTGCTTTAAAATAGATTTTCCCTTTGCTCTGGACTTTTCTTTCTTCTCCTTAACATTCTTCCCCTTTCTTCCTTTTACACCTTTCTTTTCCTCACTTTTTGAGGCTTTTCCAGCTTGCTGAAATAAGGCCCCCAGGGGTCCAGATGCACAGGACGAATTTGCCTCAGGCTTATTGAACAGACCTGCAAATGATGGCTCAGGGACTGGACCCTTAATGGTTGTTGTTGGCTTGTTGCTGATAACCAAATGTGACTGGGTGGCTTCTTCAAGCTGTGAAAGGATGTGTTTGCCAGAACGCTTGGAGGCACTGTTGACTTCAAACACCTTTAAAAAGGAAAACAAAACTTGTTGTTTGGTTTCATAGCCATGGAATGGGATTAATCAGTCTTTAAAAAACGGATTGTGGAAGCCTTCATTACAACAATGCTGTAGATAAGACAGATCAATTTAGGTTTCTAGGAAACTGCCCACCTACCCCTCCCCTAACCCAACATTTTGCCCTAAGTGAGAAGTAACTGATAATGTTGGCTTAGGGGAGGGGTAGGTGGGTAATTTCCCAGAAACCTAAAATAATAAATTGATCTGATAAGACCATCTTTTTTGTATCAAATACCACACTGTACCACCCAGCAAATTATGGATGGTTGTGACAACAGGATTTCACCATAGTCTAAACTGGCTCTGAGGACTTTTGACTCAAGTTGCAACTCTCTTGAGAAAAACCAACTCCAGAATACTTCATACCATGGACAGCACTGGGGAAATAAATTGAGGTAGGCTGTGAAATCTAAGAGGAACACTGCATATTCATCATCCTGTGAGCAGAGCATGACCTTTTTGTCTTCTTGATCAACGAGTGGAAAAGGAGGCTCTAACTGAATCACATCAAGCCTTTGAGGTTGCTGCAGCTGAGATGTCTGCACTAGTCAATCCCATTTTCTTTGCCAAACTGTTTTTTTTTTTCAATTCAAGCATCTGATTATTGACAAACCAATGGTCATAACTGAGCCCCCTGTAGCAACTGCAGGGCTATTAGGCCTGGGTTAAAGCCTACATCAATTTTTCCAGACTCAAGGTTATGAAGTTGGTGATCAAGAGACCTTTAAAACACAGGAACAAAGCTTTTTTCATGATGCCCTGCAAACGTATGGGTGAGATTGAATAAGATTTGACCAAAATGAAAAAAACAATTTCACTTATAAAGTACTTTTTGTGGCTTTGGAAAAAACTCAAGACTTTTTACCATTTCCGCAGACTTTATCTCCATTTTCTAGACTTTTTCCAGGTCTGGATCAAAACTGCTGGGGAAATTTCAAGACTTTTTCAAGAATTCAAGACTCTACCCCTGGTAAGAAAAAATCTTACTCCTTTCATGCAGAGTCTTCCTTAGCTAGGCAAGCGAAAGAAAGACTCTGCTGGAAGGGTACAGCTCTATACTTTCATCAGTTATCAATACTGGCTAATAGAGAAAACAACCTTGTAGCCTAGTTCCTCAGCACAAGCATACACCATGGCAGTCTTGCCAGCTCCAGAAGGACCAGAAATAAACATGGCAGTACTCAGTCCAATCCCTTCAGTGTCGCTATCATCTGAATCACCATCACTCATCTGGAAGTCAGAGTCACTGTCAGCATCCCACCACTCCAGTGTCTGATTGCTGGTTTGGCAGCTTGATGCTTTGCTTTTCTGCTTTGCTAAAAGCCTAGAAAAGCAGAAAACAGTACAGTATAGTGAAAGCAGTTACAATATTGTGGTGATCTTAACCATAATGGTACCTACTATTTTTCCTCCTAATTGATGTTGTATTGATTGTTGTAATTGAAGCCCACCTTGTCTAGCTCTTGCTAGTTGTGGGCGGAGATGGCAAAACGATGAGTGTAAAAATAAGGTATATCATCATCATCATCATCATCATCATCATCATCATTATCATCATCATCATCATCATCATTAAAAAAATATGTCAATATTCTAGCATTGTATCAATTTTTTCAATTATTTTGTCTGTTTTTTTCTCACTACCCAATTTGATTACCTAACATGCTGTTGTTGTTGTTACATCAAAAAGTAGAACCAGGATGGCAAGGTGACTTTCAAAAAATTACGTAATAACAATTATGTACATTTAACAGTTGGCATGGAAATTGGCAAGAGAAACAAAAATGCCTAAGAGGGTCTATTTTCTAAACTGGAAAATGTTGTAAGTTTGGTCACATAAGCTGCATGAACAGGGCTTGAAAAACAGGGTTCCGTTCATACAAAAGATCACAACCATTTCCTAAGGACTTTTCAAGGACCATTTAATAGGACCACATTTGATTTTCAAGGACCACTTAACAGGAATGTAATTACACAGATAGCACAGAAATGCACTTTGGCAGTTCATTCAAATGGAACATTAAAGTTTGAACTGTTTGCTCCACCAACTTCTCTAAATTTTTCAGTTCACTTGTCTAAAATTGACAGTTAATTAGTGCATAAAACAAAAGCCACTTCATGTAAGTCACCTTTCACTTCTCCGGACTATAATTTATATTCTGTCTTGGAGAAGCAAAAAGCATTACTAAACACTTTCCAGGCCACTACATTAGAAGTTGAAGAAAGTTCAAGGATTTTTCAAGACTGTGCAAACCCTGAAAAAGTCCTTTCTGGTCACTGGGGACAAGTGGATTAATCTCTGGCCATGTTACTTTCATCACTCAAGAAAGTTGTTGAAAGCTATTGTAGCTAAAATGTAAACTAAACGTAAATGTAACTAAGACATGTCCGCAAACATTTCTACTTTTCTGTATTATTAATTTTAAAAAAAATAAGGATGATGTATACCACTGTCAAATCCCTAGTAGTTATCAAAATTACACAGCATAAAATTAACGGGTACCTTTTCTGTTGTTGTAGTTCTTTTCGGAGAGTTTTTTCTCTCTTTATCTTCCATTCCTCTAACCAGGATCTCAGTTTGCTCACAGCAGAAGCATTCGGCATAACTTCAGTAGAATGAACAGGACGATACAAATCAGTCCACAGAGCATCATTAAGAACACTCAGAGTCTTATCACTTTTAGAATCTGTGGGAGCACCAGGGGTGGCACATGTAAGTTGCTCTTTAGAAACAGTATGAATTACTTCTGTCACATCTAAATCACAATCAGTTGTTCTCTTTCGCTTCTTTCTGCTAGATGACATCTCAAGCTTTTGAGGCAAGTTATTGTCAACAGTTTTGTCTTCAGCACAGGTCTGTTTCTTTTGCTGTAGTCTTGTGGACAATCTTCTACCCTTACAGGCCTTCTCTTGAAGGTGGTCCTTATCTTCTTCTCTCTGTCTTTTCTTGCATGATTTTCTTGCAGACTGATCTCCTACTAGGCCCTGATCTTTGCAAGGCAATGTTCCAGAAAAATTACCACTTTTTCTTGCAATTTTTTTCTCTTGACCAACACCACCGTCACTGGAGAGTCGTCGCTTTCCTCTTCCTTTCTTACATGGTAGACTATCCATGTTCACCTCTTGAAGTCCTTCCTTACTTTCAAGTAACTTTTCATCCTTTTTAGTATCATCCTTTGGTACTTTTCTCTCTAGAGCAAGTTGTTTGTTCTCACCTGATTCAATGGATGCCTTGTACTTTTCCAACTTTGATGCATAACGTTTGTAAAGTTTTCTCAAGGGTACACCGGGGTAAAACAAGGCTAACTCTGAAAGTATCTTTTTAATAACTGCTTCTGGGAAGGATGGTTGTTCTGTCTTTTTTTCCTGTTCAAACAAACCAAGGAAAATTCATAAAAAAATTAACTTTCTACCAAGAACTAAGAGTTGAGCTTATCAAATAGAAAACTAACCATATGAGGCCTGTTACCCATGGAATGGCCAGCAACATGCAAGACCTTGTTCTGCATAATTAATGGTGATTGGCTGTAAATTGCATTATCTAGTGGACCTGAAAAAGAAAAGAAGAATAGTTTAGTTTTTGTATGAAACAAAAAAATTTGAAAAAAAATTCCATGCATAAATTATTGGAGTTGAGAGAAATTAATGGGTTAAGAAATTTATACAGAACGGTCATTGATAATAAGTAGCACTCATTCAGTTAAGTGGTAGATGTGTGGTGGCCAAACAATAACATTAACTTTAGATCTGTAGGTACAAGTTCAAGCCTTGTCGTTGTATTGTTTCTTAGAAAAAATATTTATTTTGAATCCACCAGGGTTGCCACTAAGACTTCAAGTTATCGGGTAAATATAACAGGTAGGCAGGGAATCAAACAGCTAAGGATTTCTTATGGTTCTACTTTTCTTCTTCTTTCTTATGAAAATAGCTGCAGCGGGCCACATTCATAGCGGCTGGGGGAAATCCCTAGCCCCGGGCTCTTAATGGCAGTCAGCCCTGATCCACTCTCCCTCTTCTCTCTGATGTTAGTATAAATACTACCACACACATATAGCGTACCAATGTGGATAACCCTGTGATAGAGGCGCATCCCATCCAGAGAGGCAGGGCAGGGGGTGGGTGGCGGTAGTAACAGGTGCTTCACTGGGTCTTAGGTTGGTACGGAGTAAGTGCAGACATTAAATTTCACACAAAAGGAAATAACAGTCCCCCAAACTTTCCAACAAAAAAGGTATAGCAGAGTATTGTCATCCAACACCAATAATGTTTATAAAACAGTTAATTATATATGTTAATTAGGGACAGCTCCAGTATAAGTTGCTTACAAATAAGGTACACCCCTATAAAGTTTAATCCAGGACAATATCGGCATATGAATGCTCAATTCAGTATTAATAAGCTGTAAAAACAGTATCTGCTTGTTTGATACAATGTAATGGTACATTCTGATTGATTCTGATAAACCATTTCATTAAAAATAAAAATAATCGTTAAAAATAATCAATGAAAATAATCATTCATTGAATGGTACAAGTACATTTCACTTACGTTCTGAGAGCAAATAGCAGTGTAAGGAAACATCAAATTTGCAATCCTTTCCAACTGGCCAAGGAAGACACCAAAAACTTTCATTGGAAGAAAAATCTTCATCTTTTTGCAACACATGACTAACTGATGGCCAAGGAGCAGGACATGCTTCAACAACACTAACAGAAGTGGCTGTCTTCTGGGAACTTGCACCTGTAAACAGAGCTTTGAATGCTCTGTTAGCTGCTTCCTTTTCTTCAGCAGTTGTTTCCTTGGATTGAGTAGATTCTTTGTCAACACTTTGTTTGGTAGACTTGTCACTGGTCTGGGAAAGTTCTTTGTCAACAGGAAGTGCCTCAATAACATTAACAGAAGGAGCTGCCTTTTGGGAGCTTGCACCTGTGAAGAGAGCCTTGAATGCCCTGTTTGCTGCTTCTCTCTCTTCAACAGACTTTTCTTTGTTCCGAAGAGGTTCTTTGTCAACTGTTTTCTGCTTGTCTTTAGCATCAGTTGAAATGTTTGATGGACAGGTTAAACTGGATGAAGCTGATCTACCTGGACTGCCAACAGCCTGGTTTTCTTCCGTGATTTCAGTTTTAGAGGAGGTTGCTGGTTTCTTGAGGAATATGGCTGCTAAAGGTTTGGGATCTGAAAGAAAATAAAAACAAAAAAGACATCTCTGAGCAATCACACCCATACTGACAATACAATAATTTGCTCGGCCACCAGCTGAATTTTTCAAGAGCAATCAAAGCTCTCGTAAGCGACCATCTCAGAAATTCGAAAAAGTGGTCGTAACCAGAGCTGGTCGCTTACAAGAATGAGCTCTCATAAGCCACCGCATGGTAAAACATTAGAGGGTGTTCACTTAGGAGAGCTTCAGAAAATCGTTAATATTCATAAAGAAAAACAAACAAAATTAATGTTTAACACACCCTGAGTAACAGAGATTTTTTCTCATGTGCAGCAGGATGCTTCAGTGTCAGCCACAGGCTGAAGTCACCCTAAAGATTTAACTGAAAACCGGAAACCATGCATGAAAAGTCTCTGGCACCCAGGGTATGTTTAGTAAGCTTTATGTCCAATTTTTTAGACCGAAATAACCTCAGATCTAAATATTAGTACCATTAGCACAGTGTGCAACTTCTTCAAAGTGTCGATTTATATGAATAAGACTCTGAGTGGTTGCTTACGAGAACTTAAAAACAAGGGAGAGTCCAGTCAGGAGCAGTTGCTTGCGGGAGTTTTTTATTACAAATAAGTTTAAGTCACAGTTCAAACGAGGTTTCACAAAGGGGGTCATAAAAAATTAAGTAGAGCTGGTCGCTAACAAGAGTGGTCGCAAGCAGAGCTTTGACTGTAATAAAAATAAAGAAAGTAATTATTACTTTCTTTTGAAGCTTTTACCAGACAAACTTCAAGTGATGAATATTCAAAAATGCAGCTTTCTCGAAACTCGAGAACTTGATTCTTGCATCTCAAGACTCGAGAACCCAATTCGTTCGAGTTTCAAGACACAAGAATCAAGTCTCCTCAATTAATTTTACTTTTGAGTGGTACTGTATTGTAAACAACCAGACTGACTGCTCCATTCAAGTTCTAATTCCTTTGAGAACAAAAAAGGTGGTTCCTTTTCTTCTTGCTCCCCACTCACCCCAGGTAAAAGTGGAAGGCTCCTGCATCAGAAAAATCCAGTTGACGTACAAAATCCCTTCAATCGCCTAAAAAGTTTCTGGCAGTCTCACAAAAACTAAGAGCTTTTCTTATTACAACATCACTGACTGGTACACAAGTAAGATGTGTTAATAAAATTAATGATACATCTAACCTATGTAAATTAGTCAAGAAGTAATAGTTCATTCTTTTCAAATCTCAAATTATAGTCTTACCTCTGCTACTGCTGGTTTCCCTCTGGTTATCAGAAACGGTTTCCAGCTCTATTTTCTCCTCAGCTTTTTTGCTGGCACTAGCATCACTTCTTTTAGCTTTTCTTTTCCTCCTGGAATTTCCTTTGATATCTCCATGATTCTCTTCATTGCTCCCCTCATGCTTTGCCTTTTTCCTTACATTTTTGGCTGCTGGTTCAAACTCTTTGGCATCATCTGGGTGGTTAGAATCAACATCCACTGCGACCACATTGGCGGCACTTTTTCTTCCTGATCTTCTCTTTTTCTTCTGAACCTCATTCTTATTTTCCTCTTCAGAATGCTCCTCAAGAAGGGAAACATCAGCTGAATCTAGTTTGCTCTTGACTTTGCTCTTAACTTTGGACTTTTTTCCTACTTTTTTGGATTTGCAAAAATCCCCTTCATCACTCTTTTCATTGACAAAAGAATGATCACTTTCGCCTTCACCAGCAGACATGCTGTCATTTTTGTTTTTTCTCTTTTTCTTTTTGCTTTTCTCTTGAGCTTTCTCTTGACAAGTATCAGCACTGACACTTTCCGATTCAAATGAAATTTCAATGTCCTTTTTGTTACTAGCACGTATACTAAGCTGAAACTCAAAGGTCTTTTTCTTGGGTTTCTTTTTCAGTGACTGTTCAAAGTCCCCTGTGACGTCAGACTCTAATTCCGTCTCAGCTTGTGAGTCTTCAGTGCAAGGACTGTTAACAAACTTCCCTTTTTTCATCAAGAAATCAAAAGCATTAGTTCTGTGACTACTGTCAATTTCATTTTTATCAGATGAAGATTCTTCTGTTAATGACTTTGATTGACAAGAAGCAGTTTCTTTAGACTGAAGATTTTCCTTCACATCAGTTATTTCACAAGAACATGAGTTACCCTCTACAGTGTCACAAGGTATTGCATCTGATTGCAAAGCCTCAGATAGCGTGCTTTCAGTGCTATGATTGTCTGTTTTCTGAGCTCTTTGACTTTTCATCAAAACATCAAATGCACTAGTCCTGATTACTGCGGTCCCTTTACTTCTCAATGCATCCCTTGCTTCATTTTCTTCACTATTTTGTTCTGCTTTTAATTCAATGTGTTGATCAAAAGAAGGTTCCACAGAGGTCTTGTTTGAATCCTTTGACTGATAATTTCCAACAGACCTACTTTCTCTCTCTTTGCCATCTATATTTTTGTTATTGTCTTGACCAGACTGTTCTAAACTTCTGGTACAGTTGCCTCCAGTTCCTGTACCTTTTTTTCCTTTCTTGACCGACGTCCTTGGTTTCTTAACTGCCTTTTCTCTATCATTTACAACATTCTTTCCCTCAACCTCCTGAGTACCAAATTCACTTCCTTTTCCAGCTTTCTCCTTCTTTTTCCTGGACTTTTGTCGTTCTTTACTTTTTGCTGTGAGCAAACTCCTTCCATCATCTTCAAATTCAGATCCTGAACTACTCAAAACTTTTGATGCATTTTGAACAGAGCAGGTTATAGAAGACTTAGCTTTTGTTTGCTTAGATTTCACACCGACACGCTCTCCCTGAGATGAAAGTTTGTTATCAGGGTGTGATTTTGTGTTACAGCACTTTTCCTTTTGCTCAAATAAACCTGACTGATTAGATTCTAAAATGGTTTCAGCATTGTCCTTCTTATTGCCATCATCATCAGAGCTAACACTTGCTGATGTTTCAGTTTCTGACTTTGATTCTGTGTTTTCTTTTGATTTAACAACAGGTTTAAAAAATGAATTAATTAATCCACACTTCTTCATTTCCTTTGGACTTCTATCTGTTGCATCAGGCTGTGAAAGGAAACAAACAATACATGATGAGGTTCAATTTTATGCTTGGTTTACAGTTTTTTGTTTTGTTTTGGGGTATGGTAAAATTATGACATTGAGATTGAGACAAAGGGAAAGAAATTAAGACCGAATCCACCAGGAAATTGAGTAATTTTAATAAATATTCAGTGGACAAAAACCTCATACCAGAATAATTTAAAGCATATTGCATTTTTTTTTACATTTTCCAAGGGCTAAAGATATAATTAGTCATCTGTAATAACACCAAAGAAAATCTCTTATGGGAGCCTGAGAAAATGATTGTAAAATTTCACAAAATTGCATCTTACACATGAAATTTTCAGAATTTTACCAGTGTGTTTTCACAATTCTTGTGAAATTTGACATTCATTTTCTCAAACTCCCATGAGAAATAGTCTTTGGTGTTATTACAGATGACTAATTACATCTTTAGCCCTTGAAAAAGGTAAAAAAAGAATGCAATATTCTGGTACAAGGTTTTTGTCCACTGAAATTTAAAATTACTCAATTTCCTGGTGGATTCCGTCTCAAAGCAAGAATAAAACTAAACCACAACATACACACATGACACCATTTTGCACTTGTGGACTGAGTACACTAGCCTTTGAGTGAATGTGAGGCTGACGGTGACCTTGTTTTGATACAAACCCCTTTGCTTTGTTATGGAAATTGTCCTTGAAAAATACAAGTAAACATAAAAATAACTAATACACAATAAAGCAGGACGGTTTGCATCAAAACAAGGTCACTGTCAGCCTTGCTTCCATCCATAACTTTCAATGATCTATTGGCTTCAATCATAGATCATTTGATTCCTGATAAAGATTGACAAATTTAAGAGGATCCTTTAGCATAAGCCAAAGGAGTTGCAAGATGCTTACAATTATGGTATATTTCTAACGTTACGTATCATTTTGTGAAAGACAAGTATTTTGCAGTTTTCCGATGAAAAATGAAAAACGCCTAACAACAGCCCAGAGAATAGGCATAATTTTATTGGAATTAACTGAGTGACCATAGTTATTGAAATTAGTCTTACTGTCGTTGTTGTTGTTGTCGTTGCCGTTACTGTTGCTTTTTGTCATTTTTATTATTGTTATTACAAGAGCTAAACCTCTGCTAATCGGCCAATACTAGTGGAGAAAATTGTCAGCATGTCACTTAAAACAAGAAAATACAACATCTTTTCCGCTGGCAACAAACCACTTTTTCCTTCCCCAAGGGTACTCGCTTATTATACATTAGGTTTGACTGTATTACTAATATTATGGTTCAAAATAATAGTGCAATCTTCCCCTCCCCTCATTTCAAAACTCGTCGATTGTTACTTCTTGTAGAAAAACTAGAATGGTCATACTTGTGTGAAAACTAAGTCAATTAAGACTTTTAAGGTTAAAAGATCTATTAAATTGCAATTCAATGGTATATGACGAAGTGGAAGTAGCCTGGCGTCAGTTCAACATATTGTATTTTTCTCTAGGCTTTCACCAGCCGAGCCGTTGATTTATTTGATCGTTAAAACTTTTAGTCAAAAATAAAGAAGAAATATGAGACAAAAAAAAACACTCACCAGCGTTTTAATCTCGGTCTCTTCGCCCACCATTGTAGTTGAAATGGATTGATCTCCGCGAATCAAACGCGGTTAGAAAATCGCTTTTTCCTGAAAACATTCAAATCTACGCAACATGAAGAAGTCAACCAGACTACGAAAAGTGCTAAAGTCTACGAACATAGACAAAATCCTGTCAAAAGAAGGGAAAATTTGCAAACAAGCGTAGGGAGTATAGGAAATGTTCGAACGAAATTTTTGGCGCCATTTTGTAGTTGAGCCCGCGTAGCTACTATAGAACCCAGTCTTTTCTCGTTATTAAAAAACTAAAAACAAACAACCACGGCGGAGAGGGCGACAGAGAAATGTTGTTCCTGTTTGTTTTTTGTTTTTTTTCGCTTTTATTTTGTTTCTTATCGAAAAGCAAACTTTGCTGACATCTCAGATGCATTACCCCTCCCACAGGAAAAAATTACAG